TGCAAACAAATTATATCATTCTTAAACTGTTTGAGATAATGAAATATTTTCTTTCTCTTCTGTGGAGAGTTCAATCCGTTAACATTCCATGTCAAAATCTTAGTTGCCATTTTTGGTTGCCTGAAGCTTTTTTAGAGCCTCCTGCATGGCCTGTCTAATTTTTGGCCTGGCTCCTCCCACGGCTTCTGAGCTTGTTGCTGTGACTCCTTGATCAATGGCCGGTGATTGTTGAAATTGTTGCGTTGTAGCCTGTTTTTCCTTTTGTCTGGTAGTCATACGGTTAGGTCTTTGTTCTCTGGCCCCTTGCCCTTCCGGGAGGAGGTGATGGTATGTTTTGTCTGGTAGTTGTGTGGTTTGCTGTTTATCTTGTCCTTCTCGTGGTCTTTCTCCATATCCAGATGATTCAGGGTATCCCACCTTCAAGATGTTGTGATAGAAATCTCGAGCTTTCCATACAGAGTTGAGACGATATCTCTGCTTGTCAATTGTAATTATAATACCAAATGGGACGTCCCATCTATACTGTATCTGACGCCTTCTGAGCTCTTCCACTAGAAAAGCATAATCCCTCCTGGCTCTTAGCATTTGAGGTGGTATTTCTTTCATACTCATTTTTATTTTACTTTATACTTAAACGTGCATTCTCTAAAGTTGTTTGGCACATTTCAATGTGAACTGTCTTCCAGTTTGAAGTAGTGTAATTTTAGAAGGATATTTCATTTCGATTTCTGCATTAGTCTGGGAACTGTCACTCATTCAGTTTAAAATTGAGCCTGCTTTAATTCTTGAGCATCCTTATTAGCATTTTCATGTTCTTAATTTATTCTGTATATATATTAGCTTTAAATTTCTTTTACCCAGGGACTTCAGGTCCTCAGAGAGGAGGCAGTCCAAAACTTCCAAGTTTTTATCTTGCACTGCTAGGGAAGTATTGGACTGCCTCCTCTCTGAGGACCTGAAGTCCCTGGGTAAATTCTTTGCTGACTGCAGACTCATACCCAGTGTCAGCAAAACAGCGACTACCTGTTTCCATCTCAACAACAAACTCGCCAATGCAACCCCAAAGGCTTACCTGAATAACAACCTACTCCCTTATGATCACCACCCCAAATACCTTGGAGTAACTTTGGATCAGACCCTCTCCTATAAGAAACACCTAGAGAACATGTCTGCTAAAATCAATACCAGGAACAACTTACTTCAGAAACTAAGAGGCTCAGGATGGGGAGCCTCAGCCTCTACTCTCAGAATCTCACCACTAGGGTTGGTCTACTCCACAGCTGAATACTGCGCCCCTGTTTGGCTTAATAGCTGCCACACCAGCAAGATCGATGGTAGACAAATAATACAATGAGGATCATAAGTGATTGCATAAAATCTACTCCTACTTGCTGGCTCCCTGTCTTGAGCCACATTGCACCACCAGCCCTATGAAGGCAGGAAGCCTTATTGAAGGAGTACAACAAAATTATGAGAAACCCACTTCTTCCTGTGCACGCTGATCTTCCTCATCTATCTATTGGCAGGCTTAAATCCAGGAAGCCCTCTCTGGCACTCNAAAACAAACAAACAATGGGACAGAGAAAGTTTTGGCCTAGTGTCAAACTCGATTTCATTGAGGGCCGCATTAGAGTTGCGTTTGACCTTGGAGGACTGGAGTAGGCGTGGCCAGCTCAATGTCACTCATGCAGGGGGTGCCTGTGGTGGACTGAACACTCTGCCAGAGAAAACAGGCTCCCAAGCTCCATTCTCAGCTGCAATGGCCTCCTGCAACCCTCTGCCAGTGAAAAAGGATGCGCCCTCCCAAGTTCCTTTTTCGCTGGCAGAGGCACTGTGGGCCAGTCCTTCGCTGTTTCCAGGATAGCCCCACAGGCCAGAACCAAGCACCCTGTGGGCCTCCACCCCTGGGCCTTGAGTTTGACACCCCTGGCCTAAAGTGTATGTGTAAATGTAAATGAAGATTCAATCATCCAGGCCAAAAGCATCTAAAAAGTTTAAATCATGGCCACTAGACCAAAGTTTATTAAACTGAGATATGTCTTAAACTTTGAGCCAGTTGCCATTATTTAACCATTTTTAGATGCTTTTGGCCTGGATGATTGGGCTTTTACATTTTCAATACATTTTAGGAAGAAATCCCTCCAGTTGGTATGGCAAGAGTTGGTACATTCCAACAATTCTCTGCCTAACTTAACATTTTTCATTTTGACTGAAGAAGTTACTTGGAGGAGTAATGAAACATCTCAGTTTGTTCCAGTTCCCCATGATTTAACCTTTTTAGATATTTTGGCCTAGTGCAAAGATACAGTATATATAGCCAGAAATGTATTGAAGCTTCTACTGAAGTTGCTGGGATAAAAATCTAAATTTTTCTAGCTTGGATTGAGAGGCATGGCACTTACAGTTTCTATCAAGACAGCAATTGGTAGAAACCTGCTGAATTGAGGTGGGGTGGTAAAGTGGGATAAGGGAGGGGAGAGACAGGTGGCTTATACATTGCACCTTTCCACTAATTGGGGATGGAAAAACAATACAGAATTGACCAAGAATGAAAATATACAATATTAGACCCATTATCCAACTGTGGTTAGATAGAGCTATTGCTATGAACTTAATTATGGAATGTGAAGATTACTCTGGAAGCGGGTGTTCACAAATACGAACTTGTATTATTCTCACTGGAGGAAAATGTCACTTTCTTACAACTAGTCATTTTAAACAGTTTCATTATTATTTTGTACTATTTTATGGTTAATTAAAAAAAAACTGGCAGGTACTTCAGAAATCATTACACTCAATTTTATTATAATGTGAAATTTGCTACAATACAGCAAAATTTCATTTTAACAGACTAATGGTAAGGAAGTTATCTGTTATTTGCAAATATTCAATAAATTCACAAGTACAAAGCTGCAGCAATTCACATCATTTGTATTAATTGACATCACTGGTAAAAACATCATTAAGCAAATGACACAAAAGACATTATGCAAATGAAAATTATATAATTCTGCATCAATTTCTGTCATTATTTGCAAAACAACATCAACATGAAAGTGATACAAATTGTGTGTCGTTCCTGTCACTTGACATGAAACAGCACAATTTGTCTCAGTTGTTTAATGGTATTATTACAAATTATATAAATCATTGAAGAAATGTGATCCTTTGCATTCAAAGTCCATTATATCAAGTCCTATGAGATTTCCTTACGCTGCCAGCCTTAAAATATTCAAACCCTTCTTGCTTTAAAGGCAAAAGTGTCTTCTCAGAATTTTCTATCCATTTATATTCCTGTCCATGTATATCATTTATTAATTCCCTGTATCTTTACTCCCACTTCAGACAATTTGTCACAAATAATAGAAAAGGTTGATATTCCCTTCGTGTAGTGGCAATTTATCATACATGACTTCTGCACCTCTGCCTAACAGATAAGAACTCTTACAGTGGATGATAGAAGCCATGATATGGTTCCTTTCAGGTCTCTAGTCCCAAAGATAGAACAGAACATCAGAAATTATAATCCTATGATTGCAATTCACTGAAACAGCATAATCACAGGCCAGCTGCTAAATACCCAGATTACAATCACATGATCACAGGGATATTGTAATGGGTAAAACTCCAAGCACCATCCTAAATCCCCGTATGTACCACCATATCTTTCATTTATTTTTTTGAAAAATCATGCAAGTTTCAGTATGACAGTGATGGTATTTTTCTATCCATATTTACTGCATTTTTGTCTTAGCTATTACGGCTGCAGATGAAGGAGGGAAAATAAATGTGCATCATTTTAAGTACGTATGTTGTCTATATATGTATATTGAGAAAGTATGCTAGAGATTATGAGAAAAGATGGTTGAATATGGAGAAAGCATGCCAGAGGTATGATGATGTTTTTATGCGTTAATAAGTTCTATGTGTATGTTTATGAATATACATAAAACTATATATAAAG